TAAGTCAAAATTAGATGTGATACTTTATTCAAAAAATTTCTTTAAATAGAATAATGCTATTAAATCATCCGAAATTAAAAACACAAATATATTTGGAAAGTAAAGCAAGAAAATCGCTTTCAGAGATAATACAGAAGAATTTCATTGTGATAAAATTTGTACAGTAGGTACTTACAGATATTACATATTTAAACTGGTATTATATAATTTACATAATAATCAGGCAACATACTTCAATTACAAATTTTCCTAAGGATGCAGAAAAATTATATACCATGTTTTAGAGAAAATAAACACTGAGAAAGTAAACTGATAAAATTATTACGAGATCAAAAATTGATCATCAAAACTCTTCCTGGTGTTGTAGTGAAGACAAAGTTCAATTTTCTAAGGTCTGCAATATTAATTATAACATCCTGTTGGTTATACAGAAAAGTGATATTTCATTCTTGGAACAAATTTAACTGTAACTTTTTTAATCAGTAAATTTTTGACATTTAAATTATTTCAAGTTATTCAAAGCAACTGTATTCTTGTAAATAAAAATTTTAAGACTTATGAATATTTCATTGTTTATAAATAAGAAAGATTTAAAATCTAATTTTGTATAATCCTTATAAAACAATAAAGTTTACGAGAAAATTCTTAAATATTTTGATGATTTTGAAATTTGATAAAAAATAATATATCAGGAATAATAAATTGGAATATCTGCACTTACGTACTGAAATTTTCGCAATACTTTTGCATATCAATTCATTGACAGACAGGCTTTCATTTCTACTTTGTTAAAAGAAATGCCCCCCCCCCCCCCCGATATTAAAACAAAGTAAGGAAATGTGTCCACTAACTATTTCCCAAATTGCTAAATAAATGAATTTATTAGTAATTAAATTTCCAAGATCAAATTATCATTATCAATCAACATAAGGTGACAGTCAGTTTGATTTCTCCTTTTTTCATAAATAACATTGTACATTATAGTAATACACAATTATACCATACACAGCTTAGGAAAGCTAGAGTTTAGTATTACTATATTTCCAAGGGACAATGCCATTTAACTACAACAATCTGGTACCTTAAAAAGATGCATATTTTGAAGGACTTTTATAATAATAATAATAAAATTTATATCAGTTTGATCTAGTTAAGTCAAACATAAAAAATATAACTTGCTTTGATTTTTCTTCTTATTCTCATAAATTGCCATTTTAGAATAAGGAGAATAAGAATCTATGACAGAAGGTTATTTGCTCAGATAGGAATAGAATTAACAAAAGTTAAAAACAGAACAAAAGAATCATATGTATCTTCCTTTGTACAAATATTTACACATAGATAAAATGCTTCCAACGTAAAATAACATATGGTACTGATATAATAAGAATTTGTTTCATTATACTGGCATTTTAATAAAGGAAACAGAGATACAAAACATGAACATTCATTTTTATGATGAAAAATTAGACGTTAAACTTGAATATAAATTATCCATTACATAAATAAATACCACATCATTTGTCTTATATAATACCTATACATTTTGAAGCTTTAGGGATGAGATTCTTCATCAAAAATTGATATTTAATCAATAACATAAACACACATTACAATCACTAAAACAAACAAATTTATCTAAATAATATTTAGCACCATATTTATGGCCTGCTTTACAAATAATAGTGGTATACTTTTCCAAGTTAGTAAATATTATATTTACTAGCTTGGAAAAGTACTTCAATTTCTTCTTTTACTAATTTTATTAATTAAAAATCAAAAGGAAAAACCTGGCAGTATACACCATTTCTAAGTGAAATAATTTAGCAGATTACTGATTTATATAATTTTACTCTTATGTATAATTTTATATTATCTCCTCTAAATCTTAGAAACAAAAAACTGAAGTTATTAACTTTTTAATATTAGAATATTACTCCGATTTGCATCTGTGAACCTATTCTTACAAAAAAATATTCATAAAATTGCAGACTGAAATTGCCAAACAAAGGATATTTGAAACTTCATTACTAATTTGACAACAGCTGCAGTCAATTATGAGGGTCATGCCAAAAGTGACACAAAAGCCAACCTAACTCACTTGAATGACATGGATTGTTAAACTTCATATATGATTAGAATGACTTTCCCTCTACACAAACACATTATCTGCAAGTAAATTAATAATGTATAAAAAGTACTAACAATGTAACATCATTGATTTTTGATAAAAGAAGTATGCAGTCTATCCAACATCTAAAGGTTGCACAGTGTTTACAAAGGCAATAACATTGACAAGAAAAGCACGCACGTGTAGGAAGAACTTAAAAAGAAACCAGCACTGAAGGAAAAAAAAACACATACACAATATGAGGTCATTAAAACTGCAATCAGAGCCATAAATCTTCAAAAGATTCTGAATTGGTCCAGACAGAGAATTTATGAGCTTTTGGTAAATACAACACAAATAATGGAAGACATTAAGAGATGATGCAATAACACAGAATTTCAGAATGGCTGTTTATATCATGAATAGAGCACCATTCCCCTTGGTTTTATGGAATGTGGCTATACCTGCGAGCAATATAATCAGACATTCCAAAAATTTCTAGACTTAAACATGATCAATATGCACCTTTATAATGCATGTTCTAATATATATTTTTTTTAAATGCTAGAATTAATGCAACTAGCAAAGTGGGCTGGGTAATGGCTTCTCAACCATTCTAGAGACTTGATCTTGTGACTCTAAATTCCTCTGTCCAATAAATAGGAACAACTTTTTTTAACATAAAGCAAGTGGCTCTAGAGAAGTAGGTAAAACAATGCATACATGAATTTTTCCAAAAAGGATTTGACTGCTGATTTAAAGATGGCATAACTGTATTGAATTTAATGCAAACTATGACAGATAATATGTTCTTATGGGGGGGGGGAATCACTTCAACAACACAAGGGGTTAAAATGATCTCTATCAGTTAATTAAAATGCTGAGCCAACTTCTGTATTACTTTTGGCACAGTCCTCTATATTTGCTATTTCTTTAAAAATGTTTCTTGATTTAAACTCATAAAACAAAACTATTTTATTACTGCCTGTTAGCCACAGCACAGATCTTACATCTCTTGAATGGCAACACTTGTCAGGTTCTAAGAATAACAATGCCTAAATGGCATAAATAATAGCTTCCCCTCCCCAAATTAAAACAATTCTACTACTGATGATATTGGTGAAGAGGAGGGAAAAATTATATACAAAATATTTTATAGAAATGTTTACAGCCTAGTACAACAAATGATACTTTTATGTAGATCTTTCTATTTGCAGCAAATATTACTTGAATTGACTCACAGGTATTTTCATTTGATGGAATTATCAAATTTTATAGGAAATAAACTGAGTTTTTAATTCACTTATTTAAAGAACCTACACTGTAGATTACCTTCATGCAGAAATCAGCAATTAACAATACTGACAATGTGCATAACTTTTACAATGCTGATATTATACTTTTTGCTGATCTCTCACATTCAGATATAAAATTATATTCACATGATTTCCAAATTGCATTAAGACACAAAATTCTGAAGACAAAGTAAATGAAAGGATGAATCAATCAAATAGCAATAAAAGCATAATAGCATACTGATACGAAGAGATATCAAATTTGAATTTCATTTGTAACTGAAAACGTTTCTGCTTTTTAAAGAGTAAAGGCAATATCTATGATGTGACAGAAAAAGTTCTCCAAGTATTTCGAATAGACACATTTGAATTTTTTAAAAAAGAACTACAGTGGATGGACAAAAATATGGAAACACCTTGTGAAATGCATGTTTGAAAAGAAAGATTGATTTTAATGCAATATGTAGGTGGCGCTGGCGTTTTTGACTACTGACGCCACCTATACAACTTTGTAAATGTGCTAAACAGTTCAGTTGTTGTCAGAGTACTGTTGTGTGAGGTTGTCATTGCATTATGTCAGAGTTAACAGACTTCGAACAAAGGCAAATTGTTGGAGCACGTATGGTAGGTGCTTCCGTAAGCAAGGTAGCCGAGGTGTTTAGTGTTTCAAGAGGTACTGTATCGAAGATTTATTCCGCATATTTGAAAAGCGGAAAAAACATCATCTGCTAAATCACAGCGCGGACGAAAGTGTGTCCTGAGTGATCGTGACAGATGATCATTAAGGGCAATTGTGACGAAAAAAATAAGAAGACCACAGCTGCAAAAGTTACTGCTGAAATGAATGTTGTGTTACGAACCCTGTGAGTACCAAATAATTAGAAGGAGCTTCATAAACAGAGAATTGCTGGCCGTGCTGCAATTGAGAAGCCACTCATCAGTGATGCTAATGCCCGTAACAGGAAAAGGTGGTGTTTAAGTCATAAAGCTGGACTATAGAGCAGTGGAAGCGAGTATATGGTTGACGAGTCTTCTTTCACATGGTTTCCACTTCTGGCCGAGTTTACGTCTGGAGAAGCCATCTCAAGCTATAATACAGATGCTTGTTGCCAACAGTGAAACATGGCGGGGTTTCTGTTATGGTTTGGGCAGCCATATCGTGGTTCTCTGCTAGCCCCATGATAACTGTGTCAGGGAGGGCACATGACTGCCAAGACTTATGTAACATTTTGGCCGATCAAGTTCATCCCATGGTACAAACTTGTTCCCGATGGTGATGGTGTCTTCCAAGACGACAAAGCCCCTGTTCACACAGCTCACATTGTCCAGGGACTGGTTTCTGAGCACGAGGATGAGTTGTCCCATCTTCCCTGGCCACCACAATCACCGACCTGAATATTATCGAACCTTGTGGTCTACATTGGAACGGAAAGTGCGTTCTCGTTATCCACCGCCAACATCGTTATCTGAACTTGCCACGTTTTGCAGGAAGAATGGTATAATATTCCCTTGGCAAAACTACAGGAAACTGTATTTATCCATTCCGAGAGACTGCCAAGCTGTTTTTGGATGCCAACGGGTTTCCTACACCATATTAAGCAAAGAAATATGTTTTTTTAAAGGTGTTTCCATATTTTTGTCCAACCCTTGTATATAAGAACTTTTTTTAATAGTTATTTAATGCATGTTACCTTATTTTCCAATTTTTCTTTTCAGCAATAATTTGTTATATGAATGTTGGAAATATTTAACAAATCTTCTTTTGTATGAAATTTATAATTTAGAGGCTGTTTGTAAAATATTAAAAATTTTTGTGAACTGTTGATTTTATTTAATGAAAAATTCTTACTGATTTTGAATTCTTAGTTGGCTTATAGTTTTATTTTAGTGACTGGATTTTATCCAAAACATCATTAGCACTACCATGAATAACAATAGTGCAAATGGATTATCCTGTAAATTTTTACAGGAAGTTCCAAATGCTACCAATTATACAATGAAACAACAATATTTTTTTCTCTCTTTAAACTGATATCAAGGATAAGCTAATGGCTTATTGCAGTATTCTTTGCACACAAACTATTTGAAAGCTATTGAATGTAGGGAAATAGCAGTGATTTTCTTATATTATACACTGTAATTGTTAATCTTTAAATATGAAAAACCAAGAATTTTTGAGAGGTGTTTTTTTGGGGGAGGCAATGTGGAGGCACCACTTCAAAAGAACTCTAAACTAATTTAAATTCAATTTATAATGTGTGATTCAAGTCATTCAACTATTCATAATATGATTCTGATGTAAAATATATCACTATTTAATTAGATATTCATAATTGTATGGACTTCCACTAATTCCATTTTGCAATTTTCTTGGATATTTACACATTATCACATCAGCTGTGAAAGTTGGCAGAGATCTCATCAGAATTGCACCAGTCACTTCAGTGGCATTCCGAGCCAAACTTTTACCTGCAACTCTTACAATAAAACATTTGCCAATCTCTCTGCACTATCTACCATATAGCAACTGCGGTGGAACTAGATGACACACTTTGTTTTTGTGCTTTGTAAAGAAACTTCTGTCAATTTTACTATATCTTTAGACCCTCCAATTTTACCAGAAGTTCTGCTTAGAACACTAAGAGTTCAAACTTTCTAAAAGTGACTATTTCAATTTATTATTATTTAATTGGGCATATCCAGCTGTTCTTTCCCCCTTCAAAATAATAATTCTCTTGATCAGCCCAAAAATATATCCAAGTGCAGTCACAAATGTAAGTCTACAGCCATCAAATTCTTCAAAATGCAAGGAATAGATAATTAACAAATAATTTTTATCCTTGTTCAGAAAAATGGAAGATGATTTACTGAGAAACACTTGGGGTTAAAAAGGAAAGCATTAGATGCTATGTGTGTTTTGTGATGTAATGCTTATCCACAACTGGTGCTAAATCGTGCTGCTTGGTGATAGTTACATGGTCAACTAGATAATACGTAATATACTTTCTTCGCTTTTACACTAAGAAAATTCTGAGCACAGACGAAAAGATTTAATTTATCACGCGATTTTTAAATATGATGAAAATAAAATTAATCCTGAATGAACATATTGTTGGCTGGAAAAATTTAGTAATATAGCCTAAACTGAAGTAAAACTAAATGAAATACATATATGAATGTATTAAACATTAGCTGAATCTTAATAAAAAATTCTATAAGTATCTAAGCATTCATAAAACTAAGACAATTCAGATATTAAATTTACTAAGAAAATTATGCTGAAAATAGTCAGGAAATGAAATATAAACAATTTAAGTTTTTATTGATTCGATAAATTTCATTTATTGCTGAAAAATATTTTCCTTAGTAAAGGTTAAAATTTTTTTAAAAAGGAAGACAGATTGAGTGATCTACTGAAAGACAAGGAGATGTCACACACAAAAAAGGGGGGGAAGCTGGCAGCTAGAAGGCATCACTAGAATAACAGTTTTCACACATTTAATAATGCTTAAATACCATACTTATCTACCAAAATTTCAATACAGAAATCAAAATAGTATGTAATAAACAGAAAGTGCATAAAAGCTCTCTACCTATCAACATTTAAGCCTTGCACTCGAGAGGTGACTCTCAGCCACCACTTGATTTGGTGCAATAACTCGAGAGGTGACTCTCGACCACCACTTGGTTTGATGTGATAATTCAAGCCGTAACGATATTCGTTTACGCTTGGTTTGGGCAATATCGATTCATGACTGTATTCAATAATACATGCATATAAAATAACCAACAATCTTTAATCTTAACTAGGTTTTTAAGATTTGTTGTTATACATGTGTCTTCGACGTTAGTTCGAACTCGACAGTCGTGTCAATAGGAATATTATTTTCAAAGTTAAAGCCCAATGATAAATATGATGAGGAAATCACTTTAAGTGAAAATGAATTCGACTTTTCTTTAATGAAGAACGAAATCACGTATGTGCATAGACCACTTGACGATAGAGAAAATGAAAGCAGTGATGAAGATAGCAATGAAGTAAAAGGTGTAAGAAGGAGAAAAGTTATTGTAATAGAATAGTGAAAATGAAAGGGACAGTGATGCAGTAGGAGAGAGAGAATTCAAAATGTGCACAGAATTTGAAGAAATACTGCAAAGAATACCATTTGTATCCAGCATAATAGGCACAAAGTCGCAAGTATCTTCAAACATAAAAGAACCTTATATTTCTTTTAATTATGGGTGAAATCATTGCAAATTAGCTGTAAGACATTCACTAAATATGCGGAAAATCGTCCCGAGTTACGGATTCATCCAAGCGAAAAAGGACTTGAATGCAAAGAATTAATAAATACAGCTTAACTTCGTTAAGAGAAAAAATTATGAAAACAAAAGGGAAGCGATTAAGAAGATACTATAAATCTAACATTAATTTCCAATGACAGTCAAGGGGACTGAACAAAGGACATAAAGCACTTTTTAGAACACCATTTATTACGTCTGCCTTGCCAGTACCTAAATGATAAAGGTCAATAAATACTGGTAATTCAACCCTGCTTCAAATCCTGACAAACAGGCTAGCTATACACACAATTTAGTCATTTTTCCCATGTGTAACATGAATGTGATCAAAGTTTTCTACTGTGGCTCAAATTCAGACTAATATGGTAAATAAACACAACAAGCATTTTGATTGCAATAAAACACAATTTCTGTATCTATTTTTATTTTGACAGGGAGAGATTAAGAACATGCAAATTAAGCAAATGCATATTAAATGCTGCAAAAGTTAAAGTACAACAGCCATTTGATTACAATTTTTCAGCAAGAAAACATCTAATGGTCAAAACTTTAACAAAAAAATTAACATCAAATGTATTTTGTAGTTTCTCTTACACATACAAAATTACAAAAGCAGAAACCTACAAAAACAATTTCATATAAATGATCAAACTTCAAATCTTAATTGGAAGTAACAATAAATCCTCCTGAATATTTAGAATTTATTTATTTGCATAAAAAAATGTCTAATTTATGAGAAAATACATGGAAAACTAGAAATCTATCCAATGACTAAAAAAATATCCTTCTCGTCATACAAGGAAAATACATGTTTCTTTTCAAAATAAAAATAATTTAAATGTATTCTCACCATATGCATATAAGAAAATTCACACATGCATGCATACACTCACACACACAGGGGAAAAAATAAAGATGTTCAATATTTATGTTTGAAATTTACTTCTTCTTAATAAAGAAAATCTTTCACTAACTTTGTTTTTGTGCACAGTCCTGATTTATACATACATACAAGGAACACTTATAATTGGATAACTGGCACACAAAACCTCACCGTTCATGCATTAAAAAAAAAAAATAATAATAATAATAATAATAAATAATAAAAAAAAAGAGACTACCTCACAAAATGAAACAAAAATTATTTTTCAGTACACATTACAATAAAATAACAAGCTTTCATATTAAAATATTATAAAATAAATTTACATGGTATATTTGTTAAAACAGGGAAAAGAAAAAACAATAACAATGTTAACCTTTCAAATTCATAAAACAACATAAAAACCAATGTCTGATTAGTCATAGCTCAAAATGCATTTCTAAATTTACTCACAATATATACAAAAACATGTCTTAAAAAATTTATGTACATAACAATTGAAAAAATAGCATATTAAGCACTATTATTCTTGTCATAATACAAACACAGGGCAAAGCACTTTTAAACCTATCCAATTAGGAAGCATATCACATATTTGCTGATATGACACTTAAGACTGGCACTTTTAAATAACAAACATTCCTTATTATGCTAGGAAAAGTATTTATTTGTTATTTTATTTTTACACGCATGTCCAGGTGTACTTTTCCAAGCTGTGCTGCAGTTCTTCAAATCACTTAGTTTACTGTGAGCTGCCCTGTACAAAGAGTTCATTGTTCTGAAACTCAACGCATTAGGCTTAATGAACAACTCTCAGAGCTTTCAAGAACAAGTAATGCTTTTCATCTATATCTGAAATTCTAAGGTGTAAGGATGACACTTCTCAACAACATTTTTTGCCAAAGGAAGAACTCAATACTTAGTGTGATGAGTGACAAGATTTGGCAATATGGAGATAACATAATCTGTGACTTTAAACAACTTCCCAAGTACTCTAATTTCATTTATACCTGAGTCTGAAATTTCGTGGTGTACCTTTTTCCATCACACTCGCAAACCAGGCAGCGACATCCACATTTGCTTTTTCATACCTTTTTATAAAATTATGCTCCTAGAATAAAAACAGACAAGTTACGATTGAACTAAAATATCATTAAAACTTGTTAAAATGCTAACAATTATTTGATGTTAAAGAAAAAGGAAAGAATGAAACTTTATTTTTTCTACCAAAAAGTACACAAGTATATTTAAAAGATGAGACACAAGAAAAATAATTTAAAACTTCTTAACACACATTTATTCAAGCCAAATTACTATATTTTGAAATTAGCAAACCCCTATCTTATGCAGTCAAATAGTTTAACTCCTCCTGGTGTCCTTATTTTTATCTGGGTTTAAATTTCAGCAAACGTGCTGATTGCATGGTGTTTTTATGTCTTCCCTATGTGTAATGTAAATGTGAAAAGTTCTCCATGAAGGCAGATTGCCCTCAATTAATCAAATAGCATGATTCAAAAATAACATACAGTAAACTGTTGTACAATGAGTGAGTTGCATCCTAAATATGCATTCTACATAGAGTAAAATCTTATTATGCAAAGTTAACATGCTACAAAAAAAAGTGCTTTAGATATAATTCAGATTAAGAAAGTATGTATAATTTAAACAAACCTAGATATTTTTCTAGTTAAAAGGGGGGAAATGAAACAAATATTAATTCAAAGAATTTTTATTACTGCTTTTTAAGTACGTGACACAATTCTTCAAAAAGCTAGTGATTTTCGGTTGGGACAATGACTGACACAACTTTTTTAAAATTTTGTAGCAAAAAAGGCAGAATTTTTCAATGACTCATAAAATGTCCTTTTCTATCTTCATTTGGGTCAATCATCATTGCAAAATAAGACAATTTTGTGCCTTTTTGAAGAATTCATTTAATTTCTTGTAAGTTCAAAGAACTGTACATACTTTGTTATAATTGCTTTCGCTGTCAGCTGGTGATTTTCTAGCTAAAAAGCTAGTGATTTTCGGTTGGGACAATGACTGACACAACTTTTTTAAAATTTTGTAGCAAAAAAGGCAGAATTTTTCAATGACTCATAAAATGTCCTTTTCTATCTTCATTTGGGTCAATCATCATTGCAAAATAAGACAATTTTGTGCCTTTTTGAAGAATTCATTTAATTTCTTGTAAGTTCAAAGAACTGTACATACTTTGTTATAATTGCTTTCGCTGTCAGCTGGTGTTATAACATCATCAAAATCTTTTATTCATCACTGATTAATTCTTTGACTCCCCTTTTCCGAATCTGAAAAGTCCTTAGCTGCCATTTGCTTTGGTTTCATTCATAACTGCTGGGATCTTTTAAAATTGTTGATAACTTTTGACCAGAGCTAATACCAGTAAATCTTCACTGTTGATGAAGGAATTTTAAACTGCATATGAATGAAATTCTAGCATTGGAAAATTAAACAGAAATAATTAAGACAAGACTTATATGTGAAACCGTGTTCTGAAAATTCATGTTTGGCAAGAGTGTTCAATATTTTTAAACACAACAATTTGTATAATTCATTTATTTTCATAATCAGCTATACTGGGAATAATGTCTAAATTCAGTTATACGACATTTAACGCAGAGTTATTTCTTCTATAAAAACAGTATAGTTACTCAGCAGAGGTAATTTTTAAAACATACTGTAAATTACATAAAGTTAGTTTCTGTCATGAGTGTGACAGAAATTAATTATCAATGAATATATTGAAAACTATTACTTTTCTCTTCAGCCACTAATGAAATGGTTTAATATGAATGCGATAGGCAATAAGATTCGAAAGAATGCAAAACGACACCTCAACATTGTACAAAATTAAAACAATAACTTTTATGAAAAACATTTCAATTACAGAATTAATTTTACCCTCACTTGCAGAAGATGTTATAATAAATAAAACTAATATTACGAATATGTTGTGTGATACTACAAAATTACATTGTCTAGCGACTACCTATCAAAATTTCTGATAGCATACACAAACATCCATATTAAATATACCTCTCTGTGATGATCACCTCTAAGAGAACCAAAAAAAACTAGATCTGTTGGAGGTTTTCTTACACAGAGTCGATATTATATACGATGATTTATCATAAAAATGAAACTTAAATTTTACATTTTGATGTTTAAACCAAGACTCTTAAGTTGGTGAACAAAACACTTAATTCTTAGACTCCATTTGCTTTCTATTTCCACATACTTTTAATTAAAATAGTTTCAAATCTACATGTGAAATTTTCATATATTTAAGCTACATAATTTTTATGAAAAGAAAACACTCACCAATAAATCTTTATATTTGGGTCGTTTCCTATAATCTTTAGTGAGGCTAAAAGAAAAAGAGAATAAGAAAGTTAAGTAATTTTACAATTAATTAAAAAATATAGGTCTTGCTTCAAAATGGTACAACATAATATTATTAAATGTCATAATAATATTCTAATAAATGAGCATAAAATTCCATAAAGTATAATATTTTAAGTAAACAATTTAAAGGGAACAAATGACAAATGCAGCTAAATCAGGAGGCTAATGTTTTTTTGAATGCATGAAAAATTCTAAAATGCTAAACTATTAAATCTGACAGAGAAACTGATATTATGGACAGTTTTTTTTCCTTTCAAGTATTACATTTTATAGAGCTTAGTTAATATAAGTCTTGTCTTTTAGCTAATATTACTCCTGTCTGATGCAGCTACATTTTCCCTATACAGTACAAAGTCCGAGATCGGTACTCGTCGGGACTTCTGCGATTTCTGGATATTAGATCATATGTTTAAATCTAGTCAGATGGCATGTAGAAATCATAAAAATATTATATTGTGGTTTAATGAAATAATGAAGCGTTTATGATCTAAAGGGTATCAAAATTTGCAAAAAGAAAAAAAGCTTAATATTTATTTGTTTACCTTATTAAACATTTCTTTCAATGTAAGTTGTTTAAGTTGCTTCGTTTTTTGTGCTAATACTTTCTATTTAATTCTGTACACAGATATAATCTCTTGCTCAGTTACATTGTTTAAGTACTGTAATTGTAGTTTCGAGAATTCTGGCTAACTTGTCAATTTTTTTTTTTTTTTTTTTTTTTTTGTTTTTAGTAACCTCTTTGTCACTTTCTTCATTATCGGTAGCGGTATTTTCTGGATCTAGAACCGTACTACAGATTTCGCCATCCATTAATTGATTGATGATTGATGAGAATTGTCATCACAATGAAAAACTTCTTTTATATCATCTTCATTTATTACTGCTTTTCTACATTTCTTTACAAAATCCGTTAATTGGAAAATTTCACCTTCTGGTTTGTGATACACAGAAACATTTAAAGTTCATGGCTATCATCATAAAATTTAGCTATCGTTCACTATACATATCTGGCTATGTGACGTGAGATTGGCAACTAACGACAAGTTGTTCCACTAAATTTTCTCTAGCTTCTATCGCGCACTGAGACAATTAAGCCTGAATTGTATTAGTTTAGTTATTTTACTTATACCTATTTCTTGTACATACCTAAGTACATGAATAAATAAATTCCCATATATACTTAAGGCTTATTGAGGGATGGTGCTAGATCTCTTACTGCCTGATGCAGTCTCTGTGTTTCCTAAATTCTGCCACCCAGTGTGGTCATACGAGCCATGGCACTGGTTCTGGGTTTAGGTGAATAAGTTATTTTTAATTCAAATAACACTAAATGTAATCTTTTAACCTATGAGTATCTTTAACAAAATTTATTTTTAGCATATGGAAAGAAATTTTTGTTAAATGTTTTCTTGTCAACATTTCTTAGCGCATTTAACTTAAATCTGTAAGCATCGCCAAGCACAATATCAACATAAAAGGTTACCATACTCTTTATTATTCAATTACTAACATACAAAAAAAAGGTTAGGCATGGCTATAATCGTGTGTTGATAAACATGTGGTGATGAAAGCAAAATATAATCAATAATGATTCATCTTTTTTCCTTCAAAATATTTAATAGGTGTAAAATCAACAATGTATCTATCTATGTAGAGTGTTTTGGTTTGAGATGTATGTCAAGCAGACACGTAGCAACAGAGCCAAACTATTGATCATACAAATTGAGATTGGGGAGGGGATCAAATGCGCATTCCTAAAGCATAAAAAAAAAAAAAAAAAAAAAAAAAGAGTAAAATTTTAAAAAGATGCTGGTGGCTTTGAGGTTCGGATTTTAGATCATTTCGGTTACTGAACCTCCGGATTTTGGACTTTGTACTGTATTTCTATATAGTACATCAGTGGGAAACAGATCAAGTTAATGAGATTTTTTGGATTTAAAACTCTTCTGTGGGGATACAAGATAGAATAAGAGGAGATGCACTACATACCATTTAAATTTAAACTGTACTAATTGTATTTTTGCTTTATACAGATTTTCATTTAATTGTAATACTTTGTACATTTTTGGTATACTATTTCACCTTAATTGTATATTTATTTAGTTTTTAACTTGTAGGAACTTATTGCATTTTTATACTTTTAACTACTTCACCATTTATAATTTTGTCTAAATAGACAGAGGAATTGTGAAATTAGCTTGAAAAAAACCACAGTTATAGGCAGAGGTAGATTTATTGGGTGTCACATTCACAAACGTTCCCCAAATTTAAGCTAATTAATTTTGAAAAAACAGTTATCATACCCTATATCTTCAAATAAAGGGCCTCAAAAGTTCAAGCAAGTTTATCTCACCAATTCATAATTACACATTACTTGACAATAAACTTTTGTCACCAAACTAAAAACATTTTGAGATTTCTTGCTAATGTAAGGTTCAAATTTGTGTTTTGTATCATGAGAACCCCAAAGAGAAATATTCATTTGAATATATGTGTGGCAACAGTAGTTGCTAGTTTGCTTACTGTATGTAAAATAAAATATAGTTGGCTCACATAGCCTTTGTTTGCATTTTAATAATAAATTAATGCTAATCAACTTCATTTCTCCATTCCACTAATTACTTCAAAATTTTACCTTCCCTTGCACTTTGAGACAAAAGACATTATGAAATTTTCTAAAAATACATTTTTGAAATCCCAGGGCCAATATCTTTACAGTATTCTAACTAAATGGGACAAAGCCAAAATCATCTATCTATAAACCCCAGCAAAAAAAAAAAAAAAAAAAAACCCTGTCTCATGGCTGCTTTAGAAAAGTACTAGAAATCGCTGTTGGTTATGTTGAAACAGATATTCTTTTCTATCTATCATTTAACTAGATATCAATTTTAAGAAGTACAGCAAAAACATTTTATTCTATTTTAACTGCATATGCCTTTTAATTCTTGAATATGTTTGTTAGCTATGTTCTTCATCTGTTAAAAATTATTACACAGAGCTACAGTAAAGTCTTTCTCTTGATCCACGTGGTTCTTCACACCCACTGTATGTAAAGAACAGGTATATTGCTTGTTTCTTATGAAAGGGATAAGCTCCAAAATAATCCATTTCGATTAACAGGAATAATTTCTTTAGAATTTCCAATGCAAATGATAGTATTTCTTTTTATATTACATACAAACTCATGAATTCAGAGCTATATTCATAACATCAAATTTATGTTATATTTCAACAATTTCAATTTCTTGAAGAATGTTTTTAATAAATAATAAACACAAGGACAGCATTTAACAACTAAATCTTCCATACAAAAAGAAATAAACTGACATGACAGCTAATTTAGATACTTACCACACTTGAACAAAACTACAAAAATCTAATGAAAATCCTAAGTTAGGAGGTAACCTAGGTGGAGCTTCTTGCAAAACTTTACTTAAAACTTCAAAATCTGTTTTACAGTCTTGATATGGAAATTTACCAGTTGCAAGCTCAACCTGAAAAGAAAAAGTTTGCGTTTAAGAATGAAATCAAAATAAAAAAATTCAAAATACCTTTCTTATGGATTTTTTTAAATATCTATAAAATAGATTAATCTCTTCTGTTACACGGCAACATGGCGGTAAAAATTTTTAAATATATAGCTTCCATTAGTTATGTCTATGAATAAAGAACTACAATAAAATAATATAAATTAGAAATTTTTAACAAATATCTGTTCAAATGGTATTCTGATTTTATTCTAATGTTTCCACATAAATAAAAATTAAATGAAGTATGA